AAATACATAAAAAATATTACAAGCAGTACATTTAAAAAAAAATATTACCAGCAATACATAAATATTATTAGCAGAAATACATTTTAAAAGAGAACTATTAACAACAATAAAAATAAAATAATAGAAAAATACATTAAAAATATTACAAGCATTATATATTTTTTTTAAATATTACCAGCTATACATTTTTGAAGAAAAAATTAAGAGCAGCAATACACTTTTGGAAATAAAATATTAGCAGTAATATATTTTTGAAAAAATATTGTTAGCAATAAAAATCTTGTTAGGATTAAGAAGCCCACTGATATGCCGTAAAACAAAACAAAACAAGCTTAATAAGTATGTGTAGTATTAATAAGTATCTGTAGTATTTTTTCATCGATTTACTGCTTTCTTATTTTAGTATAAACAAATAAAATCATTAAATAAAAAACAAGTAACTGCATTATTTAATGGCTTTATTTGTTTATTTTATTTAATTTTAAGTAAATTAAAATCTTTAAATAGGTTACAGCACAACTGACACATTAACTGATCGTTCAAAAGAACAATAGAGCATTGTACGCAGTCCATTATATTACAATGGTTTGTGTTCCCTAGATGATTGTGAGAATCTGCCAATAATTGCTTCTGCATCCAATTCTTCTACCTCTTCATTTGCAATGGATAATAACATGTATGATTCCAAATTCTCCTCAGACAGAGAATTTCTTAACCTTGTCTTTATGTCCGCGCATCTTGACTAACTGATAGTACGCAGATGACTATTTTTTGTAAGAAAATGATGATTGATTTTGCATCATTGTTATAATTTGTGGAGAAAAATGATGCATTTCAATATTATGCAATGAGCTTGCTTTAGATTAAATCAAAGGGAAAAAAAATCAGTGGTGGGTGTGCAAAAACAGGTTGATCTGACCCCTTTAATATACTTTTGATGCAGTATTTGATTTAATGAAATGATGAGCAGATTTCAGCACTGATATAACAGTTGAATGGTCGCAACAAACATGTATTGTAAGACAATACACACTGATTGGTGATTTCTTGCTCAACTTAACGTCCATATTATCTCACTTTGAACTTGCCAATATGGCCTCCATCATCTGGCTTTCTCCTTCTATATGTTGGACAGACGTCATTTCCTTGTTCCAATTCAAATTTTATTTAAAAAATCAGTGTGGGTTTATTTCCCCACGGCTACCACTTTAATCAAAATGGTTTTTCTGATGTGACCTCCATCTTCTGGTTTTCTCCTTCTATATTTTGGATAGGAGCCATTCCCTTGTTCAAATTTAATTTAATCTAAATGAGAGGGAAACAAAATTCAGTTGCATGCTTGTGCCCACCCCTTCCCTGGGATCGCTTTGATCAAAATGAAATATATTTATCCAAGTACTCTTGGAGTCATTCACTTCTTCAAAGTTAAATTTAATTTAAATTAAAGAGAAAAAAATCAGTGGTAGTGGGGTTTTGATCAAATGAAATATATTTATCCCGTTTGGGTAATATAAATTAAGAATATATATTTATCCGGTGTTTATATCCAAAGCCCTAGGAGGAGTTCGATAACAAATAAATAAACATTCTATATATATATATATATATATATATAAATATATATATATATATATATATATGTATGTATATATATATATATATATGATGCCACCCATCAAGGAACCCACTTTAAAATCGGAAACCACCGTGGCCATTCCGCCACTCCAAGTTGATTGGAATATCAAAGTCATCTCAAACATCTGTCAGAAATGCACTCGCCTTTGTCATTATATATATATATATATATATATATATATATATATATATATATCAATTATGTTTACACGTTAGCCATTATTTTTTATCTTTGTGTGATTTCCGTCTTAAATAAATGACACGGGGTTAAGTATGTCTTCAATCTATAACAATGTGAGACCTAGCAGTCGCAAAGTGGTGCTCAACTCCACGAGAGCACCTCTTTGCGACTACTCGGTCTCACATTGTCTGCTGACCTGAGATGGAACAAATACATTGAATCAATAGCTTGTCCACCACAAGGAAAGTCAACTCCCTGTGCCGCGCCAGGAAATTTTTCTCGCCGGAGTCGATCCTTCAAATCTACAAATCAACCATTTGCCCTTGCATGGAGTATTGCTGCCATATATGGTCTGGAGCCCCTTCTGTTTGTCTCAAGGTCCTTGATAAAATCCAGAGCTGGATATGCAGTGAAATGGGCCCTGATCTACAGTCGCTCTCTCACAGACGTTCCATCGGCTCCCTCTGTCTTTTTACCATTACTTTTAAGGCAACTGCTCCGATGAGCTGCTTTCGCTGGTTCCCAGACTTCATGAATTTAAGCGTTCAACTTGGCTGGCATCTCGCTCTCACCCTTTCACTGTCGAAACTGTTAAATAGCTTTATGTTTCGCACCTCTCGCCTGTGTAACTTCCTCTGTTTTCTTGTTTTCCTGATAGCTATTATCTCCAACTATTCAAATGTAATGCCAATTGACGTCTCCCCTAACCTTCTCTTCATCCTTTCCTCTATCACTCCTCTTTGCTCTCGCTCCAACTCTCTGTAAACCCTTGCGTGATAGTGGCTTCCCGCCTTGCTTGGCGTGAAACGCTTAAAAAAGGGTTTTTTTTTTTTTTATTTTAATGTCCCTACTTTTGTCTTATTTGAGGATTTTATCTGGTTCTTTTTTATTTTTCATTTGTCGTTTTAATTACAAATCTTTATCTTTTTTACTTATTTTATTGAGATATTTATTTAATGTTGTATTTTATGTTCTGATTTCATTCGTTTTTCTTTCCTCTTGTCTCTTTTTATTCTATCCTCATTTGTGCCAGGACACCAACATTCATGGCTCACCACAACTTCCTGTCTTTTATTGCTCTAAGCAATGTTTAACTCTTTCCCATATCTCTTTCTCCTTGTTCTGCCATCAATTATAAATCTTCTAAGTCATATCTCTTTAGGACCTGAGTGATCATGGCACGCCACATCTTCCTGTTTTTACCGCCCATCTTTGTCTGTCTACTGAAATCTATTATAGTTCTTGTGTATTGTCATGTCTATTTTGAATCTGAAGATCATGGCTTTCCTCAACTTCCTCTCATTTGTTGCACTGAGTAACTATTGACTCTTGAACGTCACTCTTTGTTTTGATATCTATTCAAACAAATATGTAAAGTAGTTCAATCACTGGTTAAATATTCTTCTTATGCTTTCAATATGCCCTGTTAGTATTAAATTCTCTCAATAATCTTTAACCGTTATGTGTCCTGAGAAAGTCAAAATTTCTCAAATTGACTATAAATATGAGATTTCTGGTTCCTGTTTTCCTTAAGTCATACTCGTTGCTCAATTTGTCGTTTCTTCGTATCCATGTCATTCGTAGCCCAATTGTGTCAATGGAAGTCATTTCTTCATCTGGGAGGAAATTGTTCAGTCTTCAATGCTATCTTTTCTTTACAATGTTTGCAAATGTCCACTACGTTCACCTGATTTGACACCTTGTAATTATTTTGCTATGGGGCTATGTGAAACGAACGGTCTATATCAACCTCTCCCCACAAGGCTAGAGGAACTTAATCAGAGAAAAACTGAGGTGATGTTACGCACAACATGCTACAGCGTGTTTGGCAAGAGCTGGACTACCAACTTGACGTGAGTCGTGTCACAGGTGGTGCGCATATTGCACAGTTGTGAAGCTTTGCGAAATCGGTTATAAAATCTACATCTCTTTGAATATCTTTTTCGAATTTTGATAAATATTTTTTTTATTATTCAATATTAAATATATTTAATTTTATTTGATTGAGACATGTAGTTACTCAGATACTCACCTTTTAAATTATATCAGTTTTTTGCGGGGTGGTGACAGTCTGTATATCTAGGACCGGCAATGATAGTTTATTTATTCTATGCTATATATTCTCTTGTATTTTTTCTCTTCCTTTCTATCTCCAAGGTTTTCATTATATATTTAGGACCGGCAATGATTATTTATTCTATGCTATATATTCTCTTGTATTTTATCGTTTCTCTTTTATTCTATCCCTGAGGCTGTCATTATATATTTAGGACCAGCAATGATATCTTATTTATTCAATGCTATATATTTTTTATCTTTTCTCTTTCTGTCTTGTTCTGAGTCTGTCATTATATATTTAGATTAGCAATTATCTTTTGTGTCTATTCTATATTTTCATTTGTGTTTTTCTCTCTGCTCTTTCGTTTGTTATTAAATATAGTGAATCTGAAATCATTTCCTTGTTTCCTTAATTCGTAAATTATTTATATTTTTGTACGTTCATATATTCTTTTTCTTTATCATTTTTTTTTCAATTTACTCTTTCTTCTCTATTCTTTTCTAACTTCTTTCGTTTATTCTACGTCTATATTTACGACACCATTCCTTTTATCTTTCTTTCAAATTCATTTCTTTCTTCTTTCATACGTTCGCTTCAATACTACAGAATTTGGGCATGCGTGTAACCAGATGAGAATTTGTAAATCATTTCACTATTGAATGCATCCTCCATATGCGACTCTCCCGTGCGCATGCGCTGAATATGAGACAAACTTCATGAGTTCATGAAAAGGCTTTGTCGCCGGTAGTTTTATACTAGTTAAAGTAAGGTTATCCAAGATGGAAGTCAGGATGTAGCAAAAAATCCAGCAAATACAGATATTTAACTAACGGCCACTGAATTGGGGACGCATTGGGTTGATTTTGATTGATTCATTCATTTTGTACTGATTATCAACCCTTTGCTGGCTATTTAAATCAGAAAATATTTTTTAGATTGTAAGAGTTTTTGTGGCTGTAAGTCACAGTAATGGTTTATTAATACACGTCTTACTAATTAACTCATACCTGGGTGAGGAGATGGTATTTGCATTTAATAGAACATAACGAAGCCAACTGGAACAGGAATTCGCTCTCCGATTAATAATTCAGAGCCATTATCCATTACACCACCCACACATCTCAGCTTACAGCACCTGTTTTTCCCAAGCGGTCACGCATCTAGTTACTGGCCTGGTTCGACGTTGCTTAACTTCAATGATCGTACAGGAATTTGTGTTTCAACGTGATGTGGCCGTAAGCTGGGGGCGTCTCGGGATAGCGAAAGTTGATTTCCAAAATCTAAATAAAATATTGTGAGACGGAAATATTTCAATACAAACAAAGAGTAGAGTAATCTACTGCGATGTCATACCGTTCCTCCTGTATGCTATTGAATGGATAGGAGATGAAGATAATTTAAATATGGTTCTACAGAAGCATGCTGAGAATACCATAGATAGAATATGTGAGTAACGAAGATATTTTAAGGTAAATGAACAAAGAGGGAGTTTCAACTTAGAAAGAGACAGTTGAAATTTCATAGACAAATAATGAGGGTAGAGTGATTAGAGAATTAAACACTCACGGGATGGACTGAATCCAATTGGGCTAGCTAGAAGCGTACATAACGAGCTTGTGTAAATTGATTGGTGTATAGTAACTGCGTGCAATTGTGATGCTACATACCTTGCTTAACAATACAAAGGATAGGAAATATTAATGTATCCATCTCTATATAGATATACATATATATACTCGTAATTCTTCATTTCTGAAAGGAGTGAATGTAAATAGGTAATGTAGTAATAAAGTGCCTCTGCCAATCCTTGAGTTTGAACAGTGAGGAAACACAGGCAATCCCATTATTGAATTAAGTCGATTACGTCAGGGGTTTTCAAACTTTTTAACTTGCGGACCCCTTTATATTTCAGGCTTTACCTTAGGGACCCCCTTATAAACGCTTATGAAATTTATACATAAATATTTGCTGAATATAACATATAATTTTGCATTAATGCAAACGCCTAACATCCAGTGAGAAAGCCGGAAATCGCAAAATAGATCCAAAATTCAAATCCTTTGGTTCCTTCTCTTCATGAATAGAATCCATTATCTTTATCAATTTAAGATACAAATTATATTAGTATATCAAATCTATGAAATAGTTTATTGAATCAATTTATTTCATGATCGGCCTATAAGTTACTTATAAGTGCTTATAAGTTGCACGTCACCCATAAAAAAAGGTCTTTGCTGTCCACGAACCCCCTATCTTCTTCTTGCGGACCCCCTCTGGTCCGCGGACCACAGTTTGAAAACCCCTGGATTACGTGACTATAGAGGAAGTAAGATGTCGCTTGACGTCTAGATTGATCGCTATTTCTCCTCTATCACTATTCACATTACTATTTCTCCTTTATCCTCTATTACTATACGGACCGCTCTTCTCTACTCTATTCAATATACTATTTCTCTATGCAGATTACTATTCGAACGAGAATTATCCAGCAAGTATTATTAGTGCGAGATTATTCGAAGGCGTCTGACACCAGCATTGTTCAACGGCGTTACTATAATTGAATCTGCGATTACAGAGTCTCTACTGCAACGTGCATTACGAAAGTGACAACGAATAATCTTTGACATCACAAAAATGGCAACGAGTGTTCGTTGACATCACAAAAATATTTATGTGCGCGTCTAATTCCAATTTAACCTTGATGCAGTGAATGCTGGGCAGTCTCCTCACAGATGAAAAAAGACTGGATGCAATAGATATGTAGTTCTACAGAAGGATGCTGAGAATACCATGGGCTGAATATGTGGCCAGCAAACAAAAAGGGACACTTGTAATTAACATCAGGAAGAGACAGATGGAATTTCTAGGGTACATAATTAGAAAAGAGTACTTGGAAAAGCTGGTACTCAAAAAAAAGAGGACCACAGGAAAACGGCGCATAAACTACATGACAAGCTTGAGTAAATTGTTGAAGAAACAGGGATTAGGAGAGATAATAAAAAACACAATTTGTTAAAAGCTACATAGGACATGAAATTGTGGAAATCGTGGAGGAACATAACACATAAAATAATGGACTAACATTCAAATGTGAACATCCTACTATTTTTCACCCACAACAAGACAAATATACACACACACACACACACACACACACACACATATATATATATATATATATATATATATATATATATATATATATATATATTCAATGAATAGCCTTAATTCTCTTCCCAAACGAAAACAAAACTATTAAACAAATTTTTACTACGTTAATAAAAAACGATAAAAATAAGAATAAAAAAAATAAATAAATAAATATATATATAAGATAAGAAATAAAAATAAAAATAAAAAATAAAATAAATAAAAAAAAGCAAAATAATTTAACGCAAATAAATAAACAAACAAATAAACGACTTCCGGTAAAATAACCACCAAAATAGACTACCCACAATGCACCACTGACCCGTATATATAAATAGCCAAGAAAAATAACAGCACTCGTGGCCTGCATCTAGCATGAAACAGACTGTCGCCTCTAGGTAATATTCACTTGATATTATATGTTCATATTATATATATATATATATATATATATATATATATACGTGTGTGTGTGTGCAAACATATATTGTTAAATATAGCAGACAACGAATGTCTGTTAAGTTTGATCAGGAGCCGTTCTAAACTCCGTATATTTGCTTTAATTTCGGGTTAAAATAAAGACAAAAATTGTCCAACATTTGGATATTTTTTTATTATGCTGTTCCTTGATCTAATCTTTCGGCTTACATGAGCCATCTTCAAAGTGGTTATGCGGACATTTAAACAAAGATATCTACCGTTAAAGATGATATTCTGTTATGTCAATATAGAAGATTGCTATGCGACGATAATGATCGCGGAATAGCAGAAGCAAATCGTAAATTCCTGATGCGGTATTATGACGTCGTACCACGTGAGTGACCGAAATATTAGCAATAGAGCCATCTGTCTAGATGCAATATAATGTGTTATGACTAGTTTGAATTGTAATTTTGTTGAGTGTGGGTTTCTTTGTTTTACTGTAGATGGCCTCCAATAATTTGAAGGTTCTTTTTGCTGTGTTATCAATTAATATGTGTTTAATATCATGTACATGATTGTTTTGCTAAGAAAAGTTGTTTAATAGAACTAAGATTAGAAAGGTGACAGGTAAGTCTACAGGATAGCGTGGTTGTAGTAAAACCAATATATATAGCGGGTTTATTATTTGTATCAGAGATACAATCTCTGAACGGGCATGGAAATTGATACACTACATTTTTTTATAGAGGATTTTATTGTGTGGTTGTAGGATTATTAGTGTTATGAGGTCAGTTGTTTTAAATATTTTGTAATACATAGAGAGTTTAACTTGTTTATTATTATAAATGGGTTTAACATTTCGACATTATGCTTTTAATTGTTGTCTTATCATGTTTTTTATTATTATGCATTTGATTACTGTAGCGTAAATTAATAGCGTTATGTTTATTTTGGCGTACACTCTTATTATAATATTATCAATTTTGAGGTATTATTAAGATTATTGAGATACATTTTAATTTGTTGATCTTTGATGTAATTAGGAAATCCATTATTAACAAGTGTTTGTTCAATGTTATGTAATTCTTTATAGAATATAGTTTTGGAAGAAGATATCATTTGTTTTCGTTGGATTAAGCTTTATTTTATATAACAGCTAATTTATATCTTTGGGTGCATTTACTATTATAATAGAGAAGACACGAGTTAATGCTAGTGGGTTTCCTATAGTAGTAAATTTATCTGCGATAGAATCAGTAAATATATCAAGGAATGGAATGTTATTATTAATATTAAGTTCTTATGTAAATTTGAGGATGGAATGACTTTCAAATTCGTTTTTAAGTTGTGTAATTTGATCAATATTTTTAGCTAAAACGAAAATGTCATCTATGTATCTAGTATATATAGAGGGTTTATTAGTGTCATTAAGTATTTTATTTTCTAAATGTGCCATATAATAATTAGCAAAAAAGGAGATCCCATTGCAATACCGTCAAGTTGAGTATAAATATTACCTAGGGGAGGTATGAAAAGGTACCTGAGTGGTATATGCTAATAATTTTTTTTTTTAAATAGTGGGTTTAAAATTGATGGCTGGGAGAGAATGACACCTTTTTTGATGTCTTTAAATAGTTTTCTGCACAATTTACACATTAACATAGAGTTCAAAGGTACAAAAGAGCATTGTCTGCAGTCCACTATATTGTGAGCAATCGTTTGCGTTCAGGAGATGATTGTTCGAATCTGCCAATAACTGCTTCTGCATTCAATTCGTCTAACAGTTCTTTTTTATTGGATTGCAATATCTGTGATATCAGATAGCGAATTTCTTAATCTGGTCTTTATTATCTTGCATCTTAAGTAACTGATTGTGCGCAGATGACTTTATGAATTCTTATTCCTTTTTATTACCAAAACAGTTGTCTCTGTTTCTTTATCGCATTTATATTTTATGTAGGGAGCCCACTCCATCAGGGTCTCACTTGCAATCAGACAAGCTAACAACCCTGGACATTCCGCCACTAACCAAAATGATTGGAATATCTAAGCATATAATAATCATAATTCATCATCTCAAACATACTGATAAAAATATATTCTTACCTGTTAACGCCTCCATCATTATCTCTATGTATTAACTATGTTTACACATTAGTCATTATTTTCGCTCTCTGTGTGCTTTTGCCGTTATCATTCTTAGTATGTCTGTCTTAGAATAAATGCCGGGGAGCTAAGTTTGTCTTCTATCTCTAACAGTTTGTTAGGGCATCTTGTTTGAGTCGTTGAACGTGACTTGGCGAGATTACAGTGCGTGAGTTTAACAATGGGAACCTGCCATTAATAATAGCGATAAGGCCAGACGTAAAAACTGAGTCGTGTATTCATGCACGAGATCTGCGCATACGCATTTAGCGGCCTTCAAGATGACATCTTAGCTACGCATGTACAAACACAGGGAGAGTCGCCAATTCAAAGGGAGATAAACACGGTGGGGGGGGCGTATTCAAATTCGCTACCACGTAAACACAATGATTCATTTAGTAAATGCAGTCGTGGGAAAGGGATGACTAAGAGAAGGAGACAAAAGAGAGGGATATGTAGAGAACAGCAAAAATAGATCTTTCACATGAGGTCAAAATCAAAATGGAAAAGAAGAGGGAAGC